ATATATATATAGGTATATATATATATATATATATATATATATATATATATATATATATATATATATATATATATATATATATATAATATATATATATATATATATATATATATATATATATATATATATATATATGAACAAGTCAAAACGATGAAATACATCTCATAAATACACATACATGATCGGTACATACCTTGTACAGCAGCAGCAGCGCTGGTTGCAGCCTGAGTTGTGACATCTGCGAGGTACGATCCCCAGCTAGACATCGACGCCCATGCATCGGCGGCCGGATCGGACTGCTGAGGGGTTGGAGATGATCCGAAGCCCTGATACCTGGCAGGGTGATATGTACTTAGTGAGTGTTCAGGAACTATGTATGATGAATGGTGACGGTTCGTTTTAAAGCAGACCTGCTCGGCGACAACACTCTCTTGGTGTCTGAATGGTTCGTTTGATTGCGACACATACGATATATCGGACATTATGCGTCACTTGTGAAATACTTGGGCGTATTTGCAGAGGATTCACGGAGAACTAGAACATCTCCCTATAACGTGGTGTACTCGTGTATGCCAGGCTCCAATACGAACGCAAAGGAAGACGCCACAAAAAGTCGCAATCACCTGTTTTCGGCATCACGTTATTTGAAGCGGCTATAAAGATACTCACCTACCAACATCGGGGTGCGAATTAGCGTACCAACCAATATCACTGTAGTGGATTTTTTAATCTTAAACAATACCTACACGCTCATAGCGCTCCAAAAGAAATGAAAAACAGTACCATGTCATATACGTTGATGAGTATGCTTGAAACTCTCACTCTTGCCCTTCCATGTGTACATATTTGCCTTGCAGACATAAGCAGTTGTACTCACTCACACATTGAATCACCACCTTGATATAACTTTGTGCTCGCTCGGCGAGACACCTATATTGACACTCTCTGTACCATGAGGTACCTAAAAAACATAAACGCAGAGCCCTTCAATGGCTTCCGCATGATAAGTTGTATTCACCCAATTTTCTGCAGCACCGCACACTCACTTGTCTGCATCGCCTCATTGACTGTCTGTATATAGCAGGGCCAGTCATCTGTAACCGCACCCTTCATACCATGGGATGTTTACCTACCACAAACACACCAGACATTTGAACATTTACACACAGTACGTCGTATGCACCACCTTTTTACGGCACCACACTCACCTATTTGCATCGCCCCGTTGATTGGTCTGTGAATCGGCACTGCGGGGCACGAGAAGTGGCACGTTCTGTGCCGGGGACATGCTCTCGATCCATTGGTCACCAGCCGCCTCGGTTGCTACCTGTTTGGAATGCAGAATACTCGGTCAGGGGATGCGCAGTAGCGCATATAGGGAGCGTTTGCGTAGGTATATTGTCTGGATGTCGGACAAGCAAATGATAGGCAAACGCGCATTGAAGATGTGTGCGACGCATTCGGGAGACGATGCAACGGATAGTTGGTACAAAGAAACGCTAGGAGAGCTCTGCGTGTCGATAAACTGAGAGATGTTATGACAACCATGCGCGAATGAAGGACTCAGGACACAACCGCCGTGATTCCAAACAGGTAGTACATACTATTTGCGCATGCACTGTGTTAAATAGGGCGAGCTTGTCATATACATATACATCACACGCTCACGACAAAATACGGAAGCTCGTAGACTCGCCTTGCGGACCCGGTTTTGACCGATCGTACAGGCGATAGTAGCCGACCATCAGCCTTAGAGTGAAGGACTGTGGGTGGTACTTAAGATTTCCTTTTCTACATATTGATCAGATAAGATAAGATAACTTCAGGATTGCTACCGCCTGCGTTTTCCAAACATGTCCGGGGCACCCTAAACTATACTTACTTTGTCTCGCCAAAAGGAAGCCGCCCGAGTATTCCACTTATCACTGATGTTCAAACTGGGAGAGTAGTCTGGTTGATGACAATCCAGAAAGTCTTGACAGCGCGAGTTGCCACCAGCCTTTTGGATGAAACATAACAGTATCAGCGCAGATGATCTTAGTATATATATAGGTGCATATATAGCAGTCTATGTTGATGTACCCAGTACCGTACCACTCAGACAAATGTACCGGAATGACTACCTATCTATTGACTACCCATCTATGGCAATATGGAGGTTTGACAACAATCATGTATTCACCGAAAGAACGGCGCATGAAAAAGGTTGCAGTTGCAGGGGCACTCGCAGTCTAAGGTATATCATGACGTGAGAAGTGTTTGTAAGGACTATTGCTATTACTACAAGTCACTGACCATCATAAGGCGGTGTTCTTTCTCCTTCCACTGGTCCATGGTGACGGATCTCACAAAACTGAAGGACAGAGCGACAAAGTTGAACAAGATCAGTTTACTGATTTGGTTATTATTAGACTGGCTATACAATAAGCGATTAAAATTATCGAGCTATGGCATAGCTGTACTAAATCAGTCTGCTGATTCGATTTTCTCTCCTCAATATTTGGCGTGTACTACATCGACAGGCATTTTCATGCGCACGAGCGCACAGACACTATCGGGTAAATACATAGCTACAATGTGAAAGATTTCAGCAGTATTTATTGAAGACCAAATCAAGCAAAAGTTGAGACGTTGTCCATGAAATAGAAATTGGCGTACGTCATGCGCTTTTAGGCAAAGTTTAACGTGGCCGTACGCTAACCAACCTGAAGGGCAACTACTCCATTTTTAACATTGCAGCGTTCTGTGCTTCTAATACAGGTGCTTACAGCGACATTAACAAAGTAATCAATCGCTCGTTTCCGAGTGCTTACCTAACATGCACACCCAGACTGCGGTGGGTTCCAGAGCACTCCAGACATATGAAGATGCCCAAAGTGACAGACACCCATTGCGGACTGTGCGTGTCACACTCAAAGCATTTCTGGTTGGTGGGTAAAGGGATAAGTGCAGTGCAACATCAGCGGACAGATGCCTAGATTCAGCGACACGTGCATGCAAACTTGCACTGGTAAGTGCATTTGGACAGGTCGATTGATGGCTAGCAGTCTATGGGACCAAATAAATAAACTTTTCTGGAGGTAAGACCGGGTGAGGTACAAGAGTGGCACCAACCAGTATGCTGATGTATGCGTGATAGCGAGACATTGTATGTACTAAAGTAGGACGTGCACTAAGTCTCCACGTAAGGAAATGAACGACTTATTCGAATTTATTCGAATTCGTTAAAGCTGCGATGCAAGTTGAATGCTTAAACAAGCTTGCAACTAACCATGTCGTTACGGTATATGATACTGAACGGATGTATAGACTAATGCTTTATGTGCATACACACACACGCGCGCGCGCGCATACAAAAAATACACACACGAACAGACGCACACACCTATGCACACACACATACACAAACACACACTGAGAACACACACAAGCGCG